TTGCAAAGTATTGCAAAACGGTTCCACGAGGCCTCTAAATACATCACACTTACATCCAAAACGATCCCCCAAAGGCTGCCTGAGGAGCTCACCGTAGTCCTCCGAAAGGCTTTCGGACACAGTGCAATACAGTAGACGCAAATGATAAGTGCTGCTATAAGAAATCGTAGGGCGCATGATTCGTCGATGTTTGAGGCTCCCAAGGTGCCCCACAGCTTTTGTGGGTTCGTGGGGCCGTCGGGGCAACAACTCTCTGTGGAGCATGTGCTGGCAACCAGGTTTCTCAGTTTGTGCGCTTACTCTCGCGTGCAAGACACGCCAGCGAGCCTTCTAGTTGTCTGCGGTCCTGGTCCTGAGCCTTCCCGAGTCGTGAAACACAACGGGAGGCGCGTAGCTACATGTGGCCTCCAGGTCCTCACCAAGAGGTACCCGAAGAGGCCTCCAAGAAACTCCCAGAGCAGAAAATCTGCGAACGCTTTCTTGATTGACTCCCGTCGTCGTCGTCGTCGTCGTCGTCGTCGTCGTCGTCGTCGTCGTCGTCGTCGTCGTCGTCGTAGTCGTCGTCGTCGTCGTCGTCGTCGTCGTCGTCGTCGTCGTCGTCGTCGTCGTCGTCGTCGTCGTCGTCGTCGTCGTCGTCGTCGTCGTCGTATTGTATAGCACTGCATATACTGAAACCAAGCGCGCGCTTCGCTCGGGCGCCCGCTTAGGCTCGACCCTGGCTCTGGCAAACGTCCATACGGAAGCCCGATGCGAACGCCGAGTAAGAACTGTCAGCATGCCCGCATTGACATACACTGATAAGTCGCTGCGCGGCGCGCTTCCATTCATACATCCGACGGTTCGTGCAGCTGTGACATAGTGCGCTTCCTGGACGTGCAAAGTAAGTGGTGCAAACTACGTTGTGCAAGCTACATGGTGCAAGCTATGGTGTGTAAGAAATGTGGTGCGAGCTATGTTGTACAAACTATGTCGCATAAGCTATGGATGTAAGCGATGAGGTGAAAGCTATGTGGTGCAGTGCATGTGGTGCGAGCTGATCGGTGGAAGCTGTGTGGTGCCAGCCAAGCGGTGCAAGCCATGCGGCGCAAGCTTTGTCAGACAGGCGGATTCAAGTGGGGCCTCGCGTGCCTTCCTCCGCTAACGATCGCTCAACGATGACACATTGTCAACAACCACCAGGCGGCGTCCAGTGAATTGCGACGAGACTTGTGGGTGGCCCTTTCAAATACCTCCTGCTCATGAGGCGACAACCGCCCTAATCCGCGGGAACTAACCTTATCAGCTCATTCGCCCTGTCGATCTCGATCCTCACAGCGTCGAAGACGGCCCAGGGGGCCGAGGCCTCCAGGAGAGCCCCAAGACGGCGCCCAAGACGGCCCAAGAGCGCGCCAAGGGAGGGAGCTCGACCTGATTGTTCGAGCCCTCCGCTCCCACGAGGGGCGCTTTCGTGCTCCGCCGTGCTCGTGCTGAGTACCTCCTGCTGTGCTCCAGCCCCTCGGGACGGCGGCTTCGGGAGAGGCCTCTGGGCGCCCGCTTCCGCTCATCCTCCCCCTAGTGCGCCACTGGAGTGCCTGGATTGGAAGAGGAGTAGCAGGAAGGAAGGAAGGAAGGAAGGAGGGGGAGGAAGGAAAACAGGAGATGGATAGGGACGACAGGAATGGACGAAGAGGAAGAGTACACTGAGCCCGAAGAGAAAGGGATGCAGGCGGCCAACCAGGGACGAAAGAAACCAGGGGCATGATGAATGAAGAGGAGGAGGAGGAGGAGGAGGAGGAGGAGGAGGAGGAGGAGGAGGACCAGGACAAACCCAAGACGCATCAACGATGCTGCCAATACACCCTCCCTCCATTTTTTTCCATAAGCCCCCACACGCAATTGTTCTCATTGCGGGAATTGCCCCATTGAGAGACAGCCGTCGGATACTCCTCCATCTGCCAAAGCGCCATGCCTGGGACGTCAGCGCCGCGAATCCATCTGAGCGCTGCGCCCTGACAACCCCAGGTAGTGCCAGAACATGCTTCGTGGGACTCCAACGCCGCGAATCGGCGTGACTGCTTTGCCCTGACCAGTCCCAAAGCATGCCAGAAACACCATTCCTGCCACTTCAGCCTTACGGATCCCTGAAAGATTGTTGCAACCTGTTTCCATGAATGCGCGCGGCGCTAAGGCGAGAGCCCACCCTCCATCCTGGAAGCTGCACGGATGTTGCAAAACGAATACGCGCGGCGCCAAAGCAAGAACCACATTCTGAAAACGACACCGCTCTTCATCATTGAAGCTGTTGCAAACTTTCAAAACGAATGTGTGCGGCACTAAAGCGAGAACCCTATTCTGAAACCCACTCGCCCTCCATCCGTGAAGCTGTTGCAAACTTTCAAAAACGAATGTGCGCGGCTCTAAGGCGAGAGCCACGTGTTGAAAACGGCCCGCCCTTCTTCCTTCAGGCTGTTGCAGACTCCAAACTTCAAAATCAGAAGTGGTGAGGAAGTCTCAAGCGAAACGCCGGCCCGCCCTACCGACACGTCTCGGGGTGCGACATGGAGGAGTTCTTTACAAGGAAAAGTGATGGAGGAGTGGGAGGAGGAGGCGAACGAGTGGGCACACAACAGGAGAAGGAGGCTGAGGAGGAGGAGGAGGAGGAAGAGAATGAGGAGGAGGAGGAGGAGGAGAAAGAATAGGATGGGGTCGATGTGCGGTTGGCTTCGGCGTTAATGGACCTTTCGACCTCCAGACATGAGCGGTGGGCTTTTCAGCAGCCCGACGCACCCTTGCGGCGCGCCAAAGGAGTCGGGCGAGGGGGGCGACCTTATGCGAACGCACGGGCCCTTTCCAAGGTCCAGAGGCTTGATCGGCAGCTCATACTGGACGAAGAGAAACTGTATGAGTAAACTTTCGGACATTCGCGCGGATTTCTTGGGTCGGCGCTTGACCCCCTCCCCTGGCGCGCGGAGCGCGCCAGGGGCGGCACCAGCGACGCCGCCAAGGGGAGCCCAGCGCCGATCCAAGCAGACCGCGCGGAGCTCCGAGCATTTATGCGTGTGCGGTCTTCCTTTCTCGTCCTCCTCCTCCTCCTCCTCCTCCTCCTCCTCCTCCTCCTCCTCCTCCGGGGGAACGAGCCCTTCTATGAGGCCCCCTACCTTCTTCGAAGGCCGCCCCGCCGCCCCCTCGGCCTGCCCCACCGTGCCCACGCCTCTGACCACCGGCTGCTTGGCTGCCCTGGCCACCGGCGCCGCGTCGGGCGGCCTGCCTGCCTCATCCGCGCGAGCTCGCAAGGACTGGCAGGGGACCCACCGTCACACCAATCAGTCCAATGCTCCCCTCCCTCGCCGTCACTGCCGCACTCCTGTAGAAAAACTTGTTACAGAGGTGGCCATGGGTTTCAGGGAACCCTTCGGGATTGCATCGGAGTCTTAATGCGACTGCCCAGCCATAGGCTCTCTCCTCACAACGGCGGATGGGGGCCGGAGGGGCTGCTGCATCGATCCGTCAAGTTCTTCTTCAGGAGGGTCGTAGACGAAGAGAGAGCTGCACGAAGACAGAGTTGTAGGGAGAGGAGGAGCGCAGGGGGAGGAGAAAAGGGAGGATGAGGAGGAGGAGGAGGAGGAGGAGGAGGAGGAGGAGGAGGAGGAGGAGGAGGAGGAGGAGGAGGAGGAAGAGGGAGGAGGAGGAGGAGGAGGAGGGGGGAGGAGGAGGAGGAGGAGGAGGAGGAGGAGGAGGAGGAGGAGGAGGAGGAGGTCGAGGAGGAGGAGGAGGAGGAGGAGGAGGAGGAGGGGCAGGAGGAGAGTCGAGGAGGAGGAGGAGGAGGAGGGAGGAGGAGGAGGAGGAGGAGGAGGAGGAGGAGGAGGTCGAGGAGGAGGAGGAGTAGGAGGAGGAGGAGGAGGAAGGAGGGGAGGAGGAGGAGGAGGAGGAGGAGGAGGAGAGGAGGAGGAGGAGGAGAGGGAAGAGGAGGAACCCGCGCGCGACCTTCCAGAGGTCCGCGCGGGTGTCTTGGATCGGCGCCGGCCGCCCCCGGCGCTGGCCCCTGGCGCGTCCTGCGCGCCAGGGGCGGGGGCTCTCGCCGCCTGTCCAAGAGATCCGCGCGGAGCTCGGAGCTCCTCCTCCTCCTCCTCCTCCTCCTCTCCCCTCCTCCCTCCTCCTCCTCTCCTCCTCCTCCTCCTCCTCCCTCCTCCTCCTCCTCCTCCTCCTTCCCTTTTGTGCAAGAGCCATGGCACACGTGCCACCTGTTTGTGCATACACGTCGGTCGGAAGAAGCAGGTAGAAACATGAAGCAGGAAGGCGGATATAGCAGGTTGGGTCCAGGCCCTCCCAGAGAGTAACAGAGCACAGCAAGAGCATGCCGATTCTTGAAGCGGGAAGGCGCTTGCAGTAGACTGGGATCTGGGAGTCCAGATCAACCTGCTTTCAACGACCGGCGTGTATGTTCGTCTCCGACCCTCGCCGCCACCCAGCTTCGCGCATCGCACCGCTTGAGGCGCCAGCGCGCTCTCGCGCGGCCCCCATGGAGAAGGGCGCCACTCTGGCCCGGGCCGCGAAGCTCAATTGTCTACGCGCTGGTGCGGGTGACCCGGTTCCCGCCTCCTCCAGGGTGCCCCGCCAAGGCAAGGGGGGGTAGGAGGGGGAGGATTAGACTGGTGATCGAAGCGGTGGGTTCCACCAGCTGTGCTCAGAGGCTGTCCTCCTCTCTCTGCAGCCTCTCCGCGAACATCGCCATTGCCTGCTCCGCCGGTATGCCCTGCAGGCTCATCCACAAGCGCCACTGCTCTTTCTCGCCCCCGTTGAAGACGCCCGCGGGTTTCGGTACTCTGCAGTCTCCCTCGGTTGCCTGCTTGTGAAGCGCCCAGAGTTCTCTACATGCCTTTCCAGACAACTGCTCCTTCATCTGCATCCATGCAGCCTCTGCCTTCATGAACTGTGTTCGCCCTCCTGGATCGGACCCCGAAGAGGCGTCTGACGAGGCATACCTCTGAGGCCCCAAAAGGCCCACCGCCATGTACTCGACGTCAGGCTTGATGCCAAACGACATCAAAACACAAATGACGCCCATGAGCGCGTTGAACAAGCCAGCGAGGAACCCGCCGAACCCTCCGCGGGGCATCCAGGCTGCGCGGAGCAGGCTTTTTTGGGCAACCCACACCCTCAGCAGCTACGCGACGAAGCATGGCCGTTGGCAGCTGAGGCGCGGGCCTCCTGGCGTGGCCATCAGGCTGCGCGGGCAAAGTTTCGAATCGAGTTGGCAATTCAGCAACTGGGTAACCTGCTGTGCTCTGCAGAGCTTGCTAAGGCCTCAGAGCCTGAGAACCCGAGAGATCACTGCTGTGCTCATTCAGACCTGAAAACTTAAGAACTACCTGGTCCCACCAGCCCTCTGGGCGTAGTTAGCTAAGCGCATCGGCTCTTTCGAAACAAGTCCTCCTTGCCCTTCCTGGCGAAGTTTATCCCTACCCCTACCTCATCCCAACGGTCTGGAAAGGGCGCTCAAGATGGCCCTTGGTGGCCCCGAGATGGCT